ATGTACTTCTACCGCATGGTCTTGTCCTCTCCATCTGCTTCTGGGTTCTAGTTTGACTCAGTGTTTATGTATGGGTGTTTGCTCCTGTTTTCAACAGGCATTAGTTGAGGACTCCATGGAGAAGTTAGTTGTTGATCTCACTCTCCGGGAAGGGCATTTATGATAGCCTTTCCACGGAAGCTGAGATTGTTAGTTGGGAGCAGTCTTGTAGTTCCCTCGACCTTTCTTTGTGTTCAACTTTATCTTCAAACCAATATTGGCTCCCTCTTTTATGTTCTCTCTCTCTGTCTCTGTCTCTCTCTCTCTTTCCTATTTTCCATTCCTAACCAGGCTCAATCCTCCTAGTCACACATGCCTTCCCTCTCCTCCCTCTCATTTTCTCCTACTTCTCTTTCCATTAGCTGTCCTCCCCCACTATACCTGAGGTCTGGGGGACTTGTCCCTTCCCAGTTCTGTGAGGGACTTTATATGAATCTCTTAGAATACAACTTGTATCCTAGTTCCTCTGGTGATGTGAATTATAGGCTGGTGATCATTTGATCTAGGTCTAAAATCAGGAACAAGACAAGGCTGTCCTCTCTCTCCATATCTCTTCAATATCGTACTAGAAGTTCTAGCTAATGCTATAAGACAACAAAAGGAGATCAAGGGCATCCAAATTGGAAAGGAAGAAGTCAAACTGTCTCTATTTGCAGATAATATGATAGTTTACATAAGCGACCCAATAAACTCTACCAGGGAACTCCTACAGCTGATAAACACCTTCAGCAAACTAGCAGGATACAAGATAAACTCAAAAAAATCAGTAGCCCTATTTTTTTCAGACGACAAAGAGGCAGAGAAAGAAATCAGAGAAACATCACCCTTTACAATAGCCACAAGCAACATAAAGTATCTTGGTGTAACGCTTACCAAACAAGTAAAAGATCTATATAATAAGAACTTTGTGACTCTAAAGAAAGAAATTAAAGAAGATACCAGAAAATGGAAAGACCTCCCATGCTCTTGGATAGGTAGGATAAACATAGTAAAAATGGCAATCTTACCAAAAGCAATCTACAGATTCAATGCAATCCCCATTAAAATCCCACCACAATTCTTCACCGACCTTGAAAGGATAATAATTAACTTTATATGGAAAAACAAAAGACCCAGGATAGCCAAAACAACCCTATACAATAAAAGAACATCAGGAGGCATCACCATTCCTGACTTTAAGCTCTACTACAGAGCTATAGTTCTGAAAACAGCCTGGTATTGGCATAAAAATAGACAGGTAGACCAATGGAATCGAATTGAAAATCCTGATATTAATCCATGCACCTATGAACACCTGATTTTCGACAAAACAGCTAAAATGATACAATGGGGCAAAGACAGCATCTTCAACAAATGGTGCTGGCACAATTGGATGAGGGTGTGTAGAAGACTGCAGATAGACCCATGTCTGTCGCCATGCACAAAACTCAAGTCCAAATGGATCAAAGACCTCAACATCAATCCAGCCACATTGAACCTCTTAGAAGAGAAAGTAGGAGGTACCCTTGAACAAATTGGTATAGGAGACCGCTTCTTGAACATAACTCCAGGGGCACAGACACTGAAAGAAACAATTAATAAATGGGACCTCTTCAAACTTAGAAGCTTCTGTAAGGCAAAGGACACAGTTGACAAGACCAAACGGCAGCCCACTGACTGGGAAAAGATTTTCACTAATCCTATATCCGACAAAGGGCTGATCTCCAAAATATACAAAGAACTCAAGAAACTAGTCAACAAAACACCAAATAACCCTATTAAAAAATGGGGTACAGAACTGAAGAAAGAATTCTCAATGGAGGAAATCAAAAAGGCTGAAAGACACCTAAGAAAATGCTCCACATCCTTAGCTATCAGGGAAATGCAAATCAAAACAACTTTGAGATACCATCTTACCCCTGCCAGAATGGCTAAAATTAGAAACACCAGTGATGACTTATGTTGGAGAGGATGTGGAGAAAGTGGAACACTCCTCCACTGCTGGTGGGAGTGCAAACTCATACAGCCACTTTGGAGATCAGTATGGCGGTTCCTCAGGAAAATGGGAATTAGTTTACCACAGGACCCGGCAATCCCCCTCTTAGGCATATACCCAAAGGATTCACATCAATGCAACAAAGACATCTGTTCAACTATGTTCATAGCAGCACTATTTGTAATAGCAAGAACCTGGAAGCAACCTAGATGCCCTTCAATTGAAGAATGGTTAATGAAGATGTGGCACATCTACACAATGGAATACTACTCTGCAGAAAAAAATAATGGTATCTTGAAATTCGCAGGCAAGTGGATGGCACTTGAAGAAACCATCCTGAATGAGGTAACCCAGTCACAAAAAGAGGAACACAGGATGTGCTGTTTTCTTAAGCCTCTGTTTGCTAGGCTTAAGGTGCTCGAGTGGGTGAGACAGTGAACAAGGAAGCAGCTCTGAGAGACCTACGTGGTGGGAGACTTGGAAGTTTCACATCACTTCCAAGTTGGAGATTGAGATTTCATTAGATGTCACTGCACAGAAAACTTGAGACTTGGAGGGTGGAAATAAGGGAGAGGGAACTAGGATCGACATGTATAATAATAAATTACAAAAAAACTATGCTCTGACTCAAATATTTATGTTCAAGGACAAGTTACTGGGGAAAATGATTTCTATTTTTTTTTTCCCACAGAAAACGAAAAGCTGTGGATTTCTTCCATATTAATGTGGTTTGATCAAGCCAGACCGCCTGAAACAGAATACCAAGTCAGCCTACACTCAAAACAGCTGGACAAAGCAGCCTTACAGACTACAGCCAGGATTTCAGCATCTTCTTAGAATCCCCCATGAGAGCACCCCTTACAAGCAGGAAGTAGTTTGAAAAGAACGATGCCCAAATTCCCAAATATTGTCTATAAATGTTTGTTTTCATTTAAATGGACTTGGTTATAAAAAATAAATAATAAAAAAGATGGAAAAATACTGTTAAAAGTTTATGATTATCCTCTAAAATTAGTAAAGCAATGCAAGAGTTCTTATCAATGCTGTTAACAGTTTACCGATCAGAGATAATGACTTTTCTCTAAACTCAGTAAACCAAATCTCTAGTACACTGACCACAGGCAGGTGAAAATAAGTGTTTTTTTTTTTTATCTCATGCTTCAAAGGAATTACTGGCATTTTATAATATGTCTGTAAATTGTGACCAAAGATCTGTTCCTTGTAAATTCTGTATAAAAAGCCAATACTCTAAAGTAAAAATGGCAGCAGTTGCAAACCGCCTCCAGTGTGTTTGTTTCTGTCAAGACGAAGCCACTCCTGACATGGTCATCGAGTTTGGTACCCATGGGGGCACATCACCCACTGAGCGGTCTCCAGCATGAGGTGTTATTGGCCGGGTTGTACAGGAACATCCAACTATCAGGAAATAAAAGCAGGTACCAGATCAAATATGATAATTTTCTTTCTCTCATCAGAAAGCTTGATCATTGCTCTATAACTGTAGGAGTTTTATTCCTGAACCTCAGAAAAACCACTTAACAAACACAAAATTATAAAAAGAGTATTCTTCGTGGAAAGTTGAAAATTTAGAGAGGAATGGAGCTAGGAAGATTTTCGTGTATGACCACTACTGTTAGCCAGCACATCTTACTCAGTGAGCAGTTTTAAACAATCTGCATTATTCAAGAATTCAAGCTTTGTAAGACCCTCAGAATGAGGAGTCTCCCAGTTTCCATCGGTATCCCCAAGAACTCAATGTCCAGTCCAGTTGCTTCAACATGCAAGAGGCTTTAATGAACAGGAAACATTTGTGCAAAGGGGCCCCTCCAGCAGGCAGACTAGTGAGAAGAAGCCATCTCCCTCCCTCCACCCCGCCACAAGGCACAGGTGTTTTTAAAGGCAAATAACCCAAGCTTAGGGAGGGGGTGGGACCCTCTGTCCATTGAGTACATGACCCTTTGAGGCTGGTCTCCCTATTAGGGTCAACAGACCTTAGGGCCTCAGGGTGTGCTAATTAATCTTGTCTGGGCAAACCGGAGGTGCAGTTATCTATTTGTTTCTTAAAGACCCCATTCACCACCTGCTGACTCACAAGAAAGGAGGGGCAGTGTAAATTCTTGGAATCTTGTTTTCTCAGGGCCATGTGAGGGGAAGTTAGCAGATTCCAAGGAACAGATATTGCTAGGGGTTAACTTTCCAGTTTAGTCTGTCCTTTATTTAAAGTGGGGCGTTTCTCTAACTTTACTTTTTTGTCTTTCACGCCCTATATCTTATCTCTAGAGAGTAAAGTTCTAGTACTCTGATCTACAAAGCACCCCACCCAGAACCCGCACTTTCCCCACCCTGTGTCCTACTGCGCCCACTGCTCCACTGGTCTGGTTGAGCACTGGGACCGAGAGCGGGAAAAAAAAAAACAAAACACCTCCACCTCCGGAAAATTTCTTGGACCTGCTTTGAAAATACTGGACCCATCTATCCCGCTGGAGCAACCAGAGTGCCCGCCTGCCTGATGTTTATCCGTCATTACTGAGGCTCTGCCGGGGGAGAGACCTCCTAGAGTGACTGGAACAGACAGAGTTACAGACATTGAGCACCTCTCACAACTCTGTCCCCAGGAACTCCTTCTCAAACACACGGTTCCGGGACTGTCCCCTGCACAAGCGGCTGCGATCTCAGGACTTCCGCCTTCCGGTCACGAACTAAAGCTTCCGGTTCGTGGCTGTCAGTGTCCCCGGAAGACACACATGGATAACATGCTTCTAGTTCCACCCGGCCAAACTGACACACGATTTCCGCTTGTGAACCAAGGACGTCAGGCTTCCAGTCACTGACTTGAGCTTCACACAAAATGGTCCCCAGGAAAGGTTGCAACGAAGAGATGCACAACTTGAGTTCCACCCATGAAGTAAACAGGACGGAGTGCGCTGCGGCCTGAGTTCCGCTTCCGGCACATTACTTCCGCTTACGGATGGTGCAACATGCGATCCCCTGCCCACCGGGCGGCGATTAAATTGGATCCGCTTTCGGCCCAGGAAGGGAATTGATCGCATCGGACATTGCGGGCCCGATAGGAAACGCCTTAAGGGACGGGACTAACAGGTCCAAGTGAGCAGGTCAGAAACGGCTGATTCTGACCGCAAAAGAGGCAGCACAGAGCATATTCCCTGTCACTCATCGAGGCGGTAGGTGGGACTTCCGGGTGCGGCGAACAGGGCAGAAACAGAGATCGCAACCCTAGGTCCATGCACCCCTCTGGTTTTCGCTGTTTCCCTGTTTATGCCACGGTTGGCAGCAGGGTTCCTGTTGCCGGGGAAACCGGGTTGGGACTTCCGGCAACATGGTAAATCGGGGCGGGACTTCTGCGTGGGAGCATTGACCAGGAATTAATGACTTAGAGAGGTTCCCAGGGGATGGGCGGTGTCACGGGAGCCGTGATGTCAGAGGAATTACAGGCGTGGCCTGTAGGGCACACAGCTGTCAATCAAACACCTGTCATTCAGTCATTCATTCACTCATTCATTCAGTCATTCAATCAGCCACTCATTCATTCAATCACTCATTCATTTTGTCATTCATTCATTTATTCAGTCATTAATTCATTTACTCAGTCATTCACTCATTCATTCAGTCATTAATTCAATCATTCATTCATGTAGTCATTCATTCATTGATTCAGTCATTAATTAGTTCATTCAGTCATTCATTCACTCATTCAGTCAAAGGTCAGTCATTCATGAAGTAATTCAGTCATTTCAGTCATTCATTCATTAGCTCATTCATTCATTCATACATTCATTCATTTACTCATCCAGTCAGTCATTAACTCATTAATTCATTGTACAATCATTCATTCATTCAATCACTTCCTGTGTGTGCTGGATGCGGGACTTGCGGTCCCTGAGGCTAAGGCTCTGACATAGACAGGCAGTAGGCAGGATTTCCTGTTTCCTTTTACCTACACTGTAGCCCATGGTCATCTTGAACCCCGCTGTCTTTTTTGTACACCCAGGGGCAGGAAATAAGTCCCATCATCTCAGAGGAACCGGAATTGGTTGTCTCAAGCCGGAAGTGGACAATTTCTGGTCCCTCCCAGAACGGAAGTGAACCCCCCAGACCGGAAATGTGTGATCCTTTCAACATGGAGCTGGTTCCACTCACCAGGCTGCTGCAGGGGAAGTGGGTGGTGCTGGCGGTCCCAGGAGGCGGGACATCCTGTCCTCCATGGTGACTTCCAGGGGGCAGGGCCTGCTCTGGGATTGTCAGCTGTGACTTCCAGGGGGTGGGGCCTGCTGTGACTGACAGCACACCACCACCCCCCAGGGACTGCAGTTCGAGGTCGTACCCTCCCACTTCCAGGAGTCCCTGGAGAAGGCGAGATTTCCGGCTCCGCCCGAATATGCCTGGGAGACAGCAAAGCTGAAGGCTCTGGAGGTGGCTTCGTGGCTGCTCAGGGTGAGGACGGCCCCATCCCTTCTGGTCAGGTGGTAGGCCACACCCCTTCCTTTCGAGGCCCCGCCCACAAGCCTGCCCCGCCCTCTGCTCTGCAGGACCTGCACACTCCTGATGTCATTATTGGAGCTGACACCATCATGGTGAGTGAGGCCCTGCTCCTTCAGGCCCTGCCCGCCCTGCCCCTCACTGACCCGGCCCCTTGGCGTCTGGCTCCGCCCACTGCAGGCCGTGGATGGCTTCATCCTGGAGAAGCCAAAGGACAAGGATGATGCCTACAGGATGCTGCGCAGGTGGGCGGGGCCTGAAGGGGCGGGGCAGACCCACCCAGGGCAGAGTGGGCGGGGCCTCTGCATGGAGCTCCAGCCTCTGCCCACCCCAGCCCTGCCCCTTGCCAACCACGCCCTGTACCACCTTCCCTGGCCCCGCCCAGGCTGAGTGGCCAGCAGCACAGTGTCATCACCGGTGTGGCCATCTTGAGGCCACTGTGGCGGAGGAGGCAGCTTCAGGAGCCAAGTTCCACATGCCCAGAGGCCCCAGAGGCGGAAGGGGACCCAGAAGCAGAAGTGGAATTGTCACTGTTCCACGAAGAGACCCGTGTGACATTCTCGCGGCTATCGGAGCCACTGCTCTGTGAATACGTGGAGAGCAGGGAGCCTCTGTGAGTGGGTGCGGGGTGGGGTGGGTGGGGCCAGGAAACCTGGAAGTGAGGCCTGAAAAGGAAGAGCTGTCCCCAGCGGGCGTGGGTGTGGCTGAGCATGGCACCTGGTGTGACTTCGTCCCTGCCTTGCACCCAGGGACAAGGCTGGCGCCTACGGGCTTCAGGCGCGAGGTGGTGCCCTAGCAGAGCGTGTGGAAGGAGATTTCTTCAATGCCGTGGGGTTTCCACTCAACCGCTGCATTCGTGAGCTGGCTGCCATCTTCCCGGATGTGGGACCACACGTCCCTGTCAGCCAGCGTCCGGCCACACCCCAATAATGAGGATTGTAGATGGAGAGTGAGTATGTGAGTGACTGTCTGGGCGGGAATTCTGGTGAGAGAGTGACTGAAGGGGCGGGTCTTCTGGTGAGTTTGTGAAGCAGTGACCCATTTCCCATGATGCCCTTGGTGCATTGTGTTTGATTGACAGAGCAAGGTTCCCTCAAGTGCATCACTTCCCAGTGCTAGGACACAGGACATGGGGTGAGGTGTGTGGAGGCAGGGTTGGGACAGGCCCACCTAGGGGAGTACACCTAAACCCGCCCCTGTGGCCCTGCCCCTCCTGATGCCCCGCCCTCACCATCTCCATGGGTCCTGCCCTTGCCCCCACTGGGTCCTGCATGAGCAGCTTCACCATCAGATGCCTGTGATGGACATTTGACATCAGGAGCAGGGTCAGGGGGGGCCCCACCCCCTGCCCGCACTCTGATTTGCATATTCAAGAGCTGCCTGGAGACTCAGAAGACATCAAGTACAGAAACTGCTGGGGTTAATTTGCATGGCCACACCTCCAAATGACCTAACCTGCATGTATTTGCAGGTCAAAGTCCCAAACAGATGGGAATACTTGCATTCATTTGCATAGCAAAAGCATGCAAAGCAGCACAAATTTGCATATTAAAGTGTATTTCCGAAACTGGGGTTTGCTCATTTACATACTCAAATGTGAAGCCCCAATCAGACTTCCAGATTTTCAGGCACTGTGCTTATTTGCATAATCAAAATTACTAGTGCATCCTTTACATAACAGTTTAGTAGCCTCATTTGCATATATAAATGAGTGGCAGGTTTTTGCTGCTCAGCATCAGGCCCCACCCCTTCAGCACTACCCTAGCTCACCTGTCCCCTACCCCGAGGTCACAGTGTCCAAGGTCACAATCAGTGACCCTCTCCAGGCCCTGCCCTCAACCACACCAGGCCCTTCCCCACTTTCTCTCCTAGGGTCCCCGAGGGCAGGGCCGGGGTCTGGGTATTACCTATGGTGCAGACAGGACTTGGTCCAGGCAGTGACATCACAGGAAATTGTGACTGTGAGCAGGAAGTGCCCTCCTTCCCTACCCTCACCATCTCCTCGCCCAGCTGGGCATGGCAGGAGTCTCCTACCAAACTCTTTGGTTACCAAGCAGCAATGCTGGGACCAAAGGGCGGTGGCCATGGTGAGCAGGTTATGAGAGTAAAAACCCTGAGGATGATGAGTGTGGCCCCTGTGACATCACAGAGCTCACCCCTCCAGGCCCTTGTAATGTCAGTCACCGCATACCCTGCCCCTCTAGCTGTCAATCACTACAGACCCCACTTCCTGCCTCTGGGCGATGAGGTCTGCTGAGGGTGTGATCTACAGGCTGACTGGGCAGGGACCTGTCAGCTATCTTTATAAAGGTAGAGGGGCAGGCTGTAAGCCGAGGGCTGGATTTCCTGGCAAGGGAAACCTGGCAGTAGAGACTCAGGTCAATCATCAAGGGTGGGGCATGACTTCTGCTCGCAGATCGCAGCCAAGGCTGACTTGAGCCAAGGCCATCAGGAACTTTTGTAACTGCTGTGGCTGGGACTGCATTTCCCAGCATCCTATGCGGCCGCTTACTGCTTCGCTGCACAGAGACTTCTGGGTTTGGATGTTCATGTCCAGGACTGCATTTCCTAGCATCCTGTGCGGTCGATTCCTGTCTTTATGCCCAGGGATTTCCGGTTTTCATCTGTACCGGCCAGGGACTGTAGTTCCCAACATGCTCTGCGGTGGCTTTCTGTTTTTCAGTAATGAAACTTCCAGTTTGTAGTTTTTGGAGGCCCAGGACTCCATTTCCCAGCATTCTCTGTGGCCACTTCCTGCTTCCCTGCCCAGAGACTTCTTATTTTCATCTTTGGCAGCCAAGGACTATATTTCCCAGCATGATTTGTGTCCGCTTTTCAATGAATGGACTTCCGGTTAAAAACTTTGGGGTCCAGAACTGCACTTCCCAGCATGCTGTGTGGCTGCTTCTTTCTTTTCTCCCCTTGACATTCTCTTCTGGACTTCAAGGCCCCTAACTACAGTTCCCAGCATGTGCTGGGCTTGTTTCGATCTTTTTAGTTCCTAAACTTCTTCTGGTCTCTGAGGCTCCAGGACTCCATTTCCCAGCTTCCTGTGGTGCCGCATCCTGTTTTTCAGTCCTGAAATTCCACAATTTAAAGGCACATAGTAATTTAGAAATATTTGAGAATTAGAACAGTGAATTTAAGTTGTATGAAGTTAGCTTACATTTACATAAAGTTAAGTTGAAATCGAATGTACAGATATACTATTCAGGACTGGGTAAATTGAGAAGGACAAGAGTGTGAAGCTATGTATAACATAGTCAGAGAAAAAAGATATTACAGACAAAGAATAAAAGGCAAACGGTAAATGACTTACAGGTTCTGTTGGAGGCAGAAGCTGGCTAGACTCTTTCTGCCTAGATGGCTGATGTAGCAGAAAGAAGAACCATGGTGGGTAAAGCTAGGCCACATGGTCAAGATGGTGGCTGCCATAAACATATTCCCAACAGCTGAAAGAAATTGTAAAGTTTTGAGATATAATTTTGTCTTGAGCAGATGCTGCCTCAGCCCAGCCCACCATGCTGAGACAGGTTGCAGCTGGGGCAGGCAGGAGAATTTGAGCGTGCCGGGAAGAGAACCGAAACAAGTTTAGGGAAAGAAATTGTTTAGCAGAGATATAAAAAAAAAAAAAACACCTTCCACCTATTTGTTCCCTGGCAGTAATTTGAAAGATCCCATAAAATATCTGGATCTAGAGAGCCGTTACATGGCCAATTTGAATTATTTTCTAGGGGATATCTAGGCTGCTTTTCAGTACAAAGGTAAATAAGTCTGGGTGACTTTACAAGTGGCATTAAGTGAAAGGGTTTTAAATTTTCTATCAGGCATCCCAGTGGAGTGGTGGGGGATATTTCCTTGGTCAGTTTATTCCCCATGGGTGGAGTGAAAGTGACCATGCAGTCTTGGAACTCATCAGCCCAAGAGTGTGGCCACACGATTCACAAGAATGGTAGAGCTTTATTCGAAGCTCGTTAGCCCGAAAACGTTGCCAGGACCAACAGAGGCCGGAAATACTCAGGAGTCTGAGAGCAGAGCCAATATACCACACTGGGCTGTATGTCTTCTACCCATGGAATGTACCTGACCTTAAGGAATTGGGTTAAAATGTAAAAGGGTACCTTACCTAATTGAAGCCTGTGTGGGGTGGTATTTCCAGTGAACCGGGGGGGGGGGATGGTGGTGGAACGCTGGTATCTGAAACAAGATCCTGAGTGTTTCTGGCTGGCCGCCCACCAGCAGACAGCTGTCAGTGACCCTCACGTAGAGTCTTCCTGGGTTTCGGCACCAATGTTGTTCTTTTGCTGTGAAGCTAATGCCTAAGAAACACAAACGCGAGACTCAGCGCCCACATGGAGATTGTTGAGGGAAGGGAGAGAAAGAGGGGGTAGCTGGTGGCCAACTGAAAGCAGGAGAGAAAGAGGGGGGTGTGGGGCACTTGCTTTAAAAGGGAGGCTTGCACATGTGTAACTGAGTCCTCTGGCAGCCAGGTAAACCTTGAGCCTTCAGGTAAAGCTGATGTAGCAATGACATGGCCATGAGGGTCCTGCCCATCATCAGGGTGGGGGGGGGGGTCAAATGGCTGCTAGTTCCTAACAATCGGATTACTAAGCAGAGTCACTATTTAGCTACACATGTAGTTAAGTGTAAGCCACTAGTTAGCCACAAACTAACCCACTAGTTAGCCACACATACTAGCTCACTAGTACCCACACACACCATGCCACTTGTTAGCCACATACTTAACTCACTATTTAGCCACACATATGAGGTCACTAGTTAGACAAACACCTAAATCAATAGTCATCCCCACACCTTTGTCACTAGTTAGCCACAAAAACTAAGCCACAAGTCCATCACACAAATAAAGCAGTACTTAGCCACACACACTAAGACAGTAGTTAATCATACACCTAAGTTACTATTTAGCTACATGCCTAAGCAGTAATTAACCACATTGCCTAAGTCACTAGTTAGCCACAAAGCTAGGTTACTAGTTAGACACAGTCTCTATGTCTCTAGTTAGTTACACACAATATATCACTACTTACCCACCCATACTAAGTCACTAGTCAGCCACAAATCTAATTTACTAGCTAGTCACAAACATCAAGAAAATAGTCAGCGACACACACACTGAGATAGTAGTTAGCCATTCACCTATGTATTTCTATGTATTTAGTCAAATACACACCTAAGTCACTAGTTAGCTACCAACACTAGGTCACTAGTTATCCACACACATTAAATCAGTAGTTACACACACACATCCTAAATCTGTCTAAAAGAAAAACAGCTCACACTAAGGTGGTCCCAGGACATGGGAATCAGGCCTTTAATCCCAGCAGCAGGGATTTGGAGATAGGAGTGACATGGGTGGACAGAGAGAGGAAGATAAGGTAGAGGAGACAGAAGAGCATGCAGTGAGATGATTTTGATTGAGAAGTTAGTCTGAGGGATCAAAGCGATAGCAGTCAATCTGAGGAGGCAGTGTGAGGACAGGAACACATCGCTTGTCTGAGAATATGTAGAGATACCAACTCTAGTAGCCAGATGCTCTGATCTGTGATCCTTCAGTTTTCACCTTCCTCTCCCTGTTAGATTACTGTGAGTTTTTATTATTAAGACCTATTATAACTTGTGCTGGAAGTGATGTTCTCTCTGTGGAGGTGTGATATTTCAAAGTCAATAGAGGTAAAAATTATAAATTATTAAAGTATGTTAACTTTGTTTTTTGAAAATTACATTGGTATCTTTTTAATGTTTTTAATTTGTAAAATTTTTTATTATACTTATCAAACCAGTTCCCTCCAACTTACTCCAACACTCCTTCTTCCCCTCCCAACTTCCCGGGCCCCCAGCCACTCTCTCCTCCCATCCAACCAACACTATACACGTAGGGGGACGCCTTCCAGGAGGGGTCATCTAAATCCTTCAAGTCATTTTAAGTAGACACTAAAATGTCTCTCCTGTCTCAAGGTTAATGGAGTATCCCTCCATGGGGATTTTCCCCCAATGTCCTTTTTGCAACAGGGATACTTCCTAGTCCCACTCTCTGAAAACCGTTAGACTCCACAGGCCTTTTAGCTGAGACCCATGTTCAGGGGTCTGTGTCAGTCCCATGTTGGATTCCCAACTATAAGTCTGGAGCCCATTAGCTCCTTCTTTTTTTTTTTTTTTTTTTTTTGCATATAGAGTATTTTTTATTTAATTTTATATAACAAAGTCCAATTAAATGAAAACAAACATTTATACACAATATTTGGGAATTTGGGCGTCGTTCTTTCCAAACTACTTCCTGCTGGTAAGGGGCGCTGTCTTGGGGGATTCGAAGAAGATTCAGATATCCTAGCTGTAGTCTGTAGGGCTGTTTTGTCCAGCTGTTTGGAATGTAGGATCAGCTTGTACTCTGTTTCAGGCGGTCTGGTGTGATCAAACCA